GGCTTCATCTGAACAGAAGCTCAGGCTGGCAGCACTGAGCCAGCTGCTACTGCTACTTTGCATCCAAAGAACCAAGCTCAACCCAGCAGTTAGAAACAGCACAGGTTGGATATGGTGTTCCCTCAAAGAGCGTTTGTTTACTGAGCTCTGCGGTGCCCAGCGGTAAAGCCGCTGGGCTACACCTTGTATATTCCTCCCATTTTTCAGATGACGAAACTGAGTCTCCGAAGGGCATGCCTTCGGGATCCTGCCCCTCCCTACTGCTTCTCACTTAAAGCCAAGAGTCTCAACTAAATAACTACCCCCTAGTATCCCTAGCAGTTGAGGGTCCGGGGCCCCAGTCTGCGAGCCAGGGCGTAGTCCTCCAGCCTCTCTGAAGCTCCAAGAGAGACAATAGCGAGGTCGCGGCGGAGGCGAGGGCGCAAGTGCCCCCCTGCCCGCCGCCCTTTGTTTACCCGCCTGCCCCCTCGCGCGCCCCGGGAGGCTGGGAGGCGCCTCTCGCAGGCTTCCTCCTCCCATTCTTGTGCTAATTGGGTGTCAAGCTGAGATCAGTGAGAAAGAAATCCGCCCGGGCTCGGGTTAAACTGCCGCCAAAGACGAGGGCTGAGCCCAGAATTTGATTAGGCCAGGAGGAAGCCGCAGGCCGGGGGAGGGGTGGCTATGCTTTCAGGCCCCCTTTGAAAGTCACTGGGTCACACCCCCCCCCCCCCCCCCGCCCTCGCCACAACCGCCTCTATGGGCCTCTGGAAGGTATTTAACCTTCTTCCTAGGAATTGAAAGCGATAGCCACACACTGGCCTGGGCAGCCATTTGCCTGTCCGAGCACTGCTGGACCTCCAAGGATGCACGAGGCTGGCCCCTTCCAGTAGCGCCCTGTTCAGCATGGAGGCGGGGTGGGGTGGGGGTGGGGTCGTTTACCTCCAGACTCTGGTATTTGGAGAGGCTTTACCCCGCCTAGTCTCTGGTTCCTCATCGGTGAGATGAGGATAAAATCCTACCTGTTCTGTGCTTGGTGGTCGTTAAGAGTCTATACGGGAGTAGTTGACCTCCAAAGTGCGCTTTCACGAAGGGTTCACTGCTCATCATTGCAATGATGCCTTTCCCCAACCATACAGCTCTATTGCCTTCCCGGTTTTTTACTTGTTATTTATTTACTATTTTAATTATGTATATGTCTTGTATATGTTCATGCTAGCTCGGTATCAGCACAGTCCAGAAGAAGGCATCGAATACCCCAGAACTGGAGTTAAAGGCAGATTCGAGTCACGCGATGCTGGAGCTGGAATCTCTTGTTCTCTACAAGAGCAATAGGAATTCTTTTTTTGTTGTTGTTTTTTTTTTGTTTTTGGAGACAGGGTTTCTCTGTGTAGCCCTGGCTCTGGCTGTCCTGGACCTCACTCTGTAGACCAGGCTAGCCTCGAACTCTCGAACTCAGAAATCCACCTGTCTCTGCCTCCCAAGTGCTGGGATTAAAGGCGTGCGCCACCACCGCCCGGCAGCAATAGGAATTCTTAATGGCTGAGCCGTCTCTCTAGCCCCGTATATTTCAAATTTACATTTCAACCCCTCTGATAGCATCTTCCTCTGAAGTATAGTCCTACTCTAATACAAAATTTATTTTTATTTTATGTATATGTGTCTTTGCCTGCATGTATGTGTACTATGTATGGGTGCTGAGAACCCAGCAGCAGGTTAGTCACTGAGCCATCCTTCCAGTCTGCCACACCCCTCCCCTTTGACAGTGTCTCACTATGCTCCTTGACTGGCCTGAAACCATGTAGACTAGGCTGGCTTGAAGGCAGGGATCTACCTGCCTCTGCTTCACAAGTGTTGGGACCAAAGGTGTGAAGAACCCTGCCCAGCTGCTCTACTGGCTCTTTTGTGGGCCTTGACCTGGTCTGCTTGGCATGCTTCCTTGAAAGGCCTCCTGTTGCTAGGCCCTGGTGCACAGAACTCATATTCCCAGCCCTTGGGGTGAAGCAGGAGGATTCCTGCAAGCTGTGGGGCAGATAAGGCTACACAGGGGGAACATCTGAAAATCAACAGAACAGTGCTCCTGTGTCCCAGGGCACACCTCATTTGATCCATCTCCTAGCAGCTGCAGCTGCTGTGCTCCATGGAGGTGGATCTGGGGCCTAGATCTTGCTCCAATAGCAGCTTTTTCTATCTGCTTAGGTGAACCAATGGGTGCTCTGCAACTGTCAAGTACTTGATAAGTGTGAGGAGCTGCCCAGTAACAGTAGCTATGAAAGGCAATTTTATAAGCATGTATTGATCAATTACTGTGTGTATGCAGAGGGCTCAGCATGGTCTGGGGACAATCAGATGCAGGTCTAAGAGCTGCTGGTCCCTCAAGGAGGGGTTAGACGGAGTCCCAGTATAAAAGTGGGAAAAAGCCTTGTTTGAATGTCTTGTTTTGTTTGATTACATTAACCTGTGCCTGTGTGTTTAGGATAGACAACCTACAGTCAGTTCTTTCTTTCCACCATATAGGTTCTGCAGATCCACGAGGTTGTGGAGCTTGGCAGCAGACGCTTTTACCTGCTGAGCCATCTCCCCATCCAGTTTGTTGAAATGGAGTCTCACTATGTAGCCTTGGTTGGCATAGAACTCTCTTTGGAATCACAGAGATCTCACTGAGTGCTAGGATTAAAACTATGCATCATCATGTCTAGCTATTCTTATGTGTATGTGTTTTGCATGACTTTGTGTATGTGTATCATATGTGTGTAGTGGCCAGGGAAGCCAGAAGGTATGGGATCTACTGGATCTGGAGCTGGCAACGAACCCAGGTCCCTTGTTATGTTTTTGAGATGGAGTTTCACTCTGTAGCCAGCCTGACTCATCTGGCGACTGTCACCTCAGCCCCTCAGTGGTGAGTGCAGGGGTGAGCCACATCAGACCTGGTTTCTAGTATGAGATTTGGGAGGTGGGGGGTGTTTCAGAGACAGTGTTTTACTGTGCAACCCTGGAACTCCCTCTGTAGACCAGGCTGGCCTTGAACTCAGAAATCTGCCTGCCTCTGCCTCCTGAGTGCTAGAATTAAAAAGGTGTGCCACCACCTCTCAGTTCATTTTTTAATTTTATGAGTATGGATGTTTTGCCTGCACATATATCTGTGTAGTGTGTGTGCAGTACCAGTGGAAGCCAGAAGAGGGCATCAGTGTCCCAGGAACTGGAGTTACAGATGGACTGCTTTCCTCTGGAAGAGGAGCTAGTATTCTTTACAGTTGTACCATCTCTCCAGACCCTACAGGGTCTTTTTTTTTTCTTTTTTCGAGACAGGGTTTCTCTGTGTAGCCCTGGTTGTCCTCCCAAGTGCTGGGATTAAAGGCGTGCACCACCACTGCCCGGCTCCTATAAGAAGAGGTCTTAACATTTGAAAAGTTTCTTTTTTTCATCAAGCCTAAATCCTTGGAAGCCTAAGCAAAATTCCTCAGAGACCGGCCTTGGGAACCAGAGTGTCACCCTAGCTCAAATGGTGAGGCAAAACCCCCACATCACTTCATGCTGCTTTTTTGGCTGGGCACTGTAGGCCAGGAATCTGAACCCCTTGCTCCCTCTGCTGGCCATACTTGACACGACACCAGCCACCTGCCCTTGTGTCTCTGGCTTCCTTCACTTGGTTTGCTCTTAGACATACGGAGAGTACCCCAATGCATAAGCCTTTGCCCCTGAAGGCACCTGGATCTTTTTCTTAGTCTGGTCACCCCCACCTCTGAACTACTGTCGGCTGTCTGCTGGCCCAGGGTGTGGCCCAGAGCAGGCTCCACAGGTTTGTGTGGAATAGCAATTTCTGGCTTCCTATGTGGCAGGGTGGTGCACCAAGAGCAAGGCCTTCTGCATTCCAGCACCTGTGTGACACTGGCCACTGAGTGAGTCAGAATCTCCTTGCTCTGGGTCTATTCTTGAATAGTCCATTTATAAAACCTGTCTCAAGCCAGTGGTGGTGATGCACACATTTAATCTCACCACTCGGGAGGCAGGTGGATCTCTGTGTTAGAGGCCAGGTTGGTCTGCAGAGCTACTGAGTTCCAGGACAGCCAGAGCTGTTACATAGAGAAACTGTATCTAAACACATCCCCTCAAAAACCTGCTTCAAGACCCAGTTTAGCTCCTAGAACTGACCTCTTCTAATTCCAGCTCCAGGGGATTCTGAAGCTGCTGGTTTTCGGAGACCTAAGTCATGTGCACATAACCACACATTACTAAAATACAACAAAACACTCAAACCAGATGTCTTTCATCGAAGCACCTGGGAGGAAGCAGAATTTTGAGTTCAAGGCCATCATCAAGTACATACCAAGTTAAACACCAATCAGGATCACATAAAACCATCTCAGAACTCAAACAATTGACCACCTCACAGATACATGAGAAGGTCCAACAGTGGAGGCAGGGCCCTTGTGAGTCCACCCTGGGCAGTTAGGACCCTCTGTACTTCCTGGGGACTCCCAGGTGTGTGTGTGGGACTCTGGACCAAAGTGCTGCTGACTGCCCAGGACTGCCTAGGCAGGTCAGGCAGTCTATCTGGGTCAGATACATCATCCTAAAGGGGCCTGTCAGTCTCAGCCTAGGCAGAGGCCTGTCCAAGAAGACAGAGCTTAGATGTGAAACCTTCACAGAAAGCCTCGGAGGGGTAGGGAGGCTCCAATGGGTCATTTGGCAGAAGATGGAATAAGAGGGCACGGGCCTATGGACAGCTCTGTGGAGGAGAGGGCTTTCCCTCAAAGACCCCAAGTATCGTCCCACTCCTAATGGCTTCTCAGTTTCTGAATCCCCCCAGTTACCCCATCATTCAGGAGACACTTGCTCAAAGCCATATGCTTCTTCTAAAGGTTGAGTTTAACATCCTGTCAGATCTGGTGGCGGCTGCTCCTAAGAAATTACAGGAAGGCAGACTTATAAGAAAGGAAAGGGGAAGGGGTGTGGTAGCTACTAGCCAGATCCCAAGCTAAGTGAAAGGGGGTAGAGGGGAAGGAGGTAGGCAAGGAGCCAGGTTGTCAGGCTAAGAGGAATCAAGGCAGAGTTTATTGGTCCCTGACCCTCCCCTCATGCCTGCTCCACCCAGTCAGGCTAGGACAGATGGAGAAGGCAACACAGACTCACAGACAGGGAGGAAGGCTGAATCTGAGAGACAAGACAAGACACCCCCTCCCTCCCTCCCCGAGACAAGAACAATGGAATCTGGAGAAACAAGGAGTGTGTGTGAGATCCTGACTTCTTGAGACAGGGCCCGGTGGCCACACGCTGTCCTCCTTTCCCCAGAGGTTCAAGTAGGGCTAGGTGACACTTCAGTAGCTCTGGACCAAGATACTCTGTGGACATGGGATGGCTGGCCACTACAGTCTTTGGCCACTTAGCTTCCTGAGTCTAGAGGCTTTTGCCTTGGTTCATTTGTAAGCTCCCTTCTTTTTGGAGGAATCTTGTAACTCCTCTTGCACACCCTGGTCCACTGGACCCAAGACATCATCCTAAAGAGGCCCAGCAGTAAGCCTGGGACCCAGGGGCCACGCTTGGACCAGAAGACACAGCTTGGATGAGACTTTCACAGAAAGCCTCTGGAGGGTCAGGGAAGCGGCAGTGGTCACTTGGCAGTTTGGGAGGGGGGGGATCAGCACCTAGGGGCGGAGGTGCGGGCCCTGCTAGCTTTGGTCTTGCATCGCCCAAGGACCCCTCTGGGGTGGAAGCTGGGGCTCTGAATCCAGCATCCTCTGGCCCTCAGAGGGATGTAGGGGGAAATCACAGCTTTTCCTCGCCTGTCTGGATTCGGGTATAGGCCTCGTGGTCCAGTGCAACATAGCAGCCCTTCCGGGCATCCAGATAGAACAGTGGGTCTTTCACAATAGACGGGTCAAAGCCCTCCTTCCGCAACTCTGTCTTCTGGAACTTGAAGGTCCCTAGAGAGTGGGGAAGAAAAGTCAGAAAGTGAAAGGCAGGGGTTGGAGCTCCTAGAAATCTGATAAGGGGTAAGAAAGGAAGAGCTAGGGAAGAGAGGAAGGACACGGGGAGCCTGTATGTCCAATATCATCTCCGATGGGCAGCAGAGTAGAGAGCACAATCGAGGTCCCTTTTATTTGAGCACTGACTGGATGCAGAGTCCTCAACATCTTGAGGCATCTTCCTACTGTTTCTAGGCTATCCCACTCCCATCCTGGTCTATCATATTCTAAGATGCATGTGTTTTCTTGCACAGGGTCTCACTAGATAGCCCTGGCTGTCCTTCAAACTCAGAGAAATCTACTCATCTCTAGGTCTGAAGTGCTGGGATTGAAGGGGTGCATTACCATGCCTTTTGTGGGGGAGGCAAAGTCACACAGTGAGCAAGTGATAGCCTAGGAATGATTTGAACCTAGGAATGACAGATCATCTCCCTAGATCTGCTAGCCTCGGAAATGCCAGCTATTGCTCCCAACAGAAAGTGCACTCCCTCAAACCAGACCAGCCTTCTAACTTGCTCTGAAGCACTGCTGTGGAATTCTTGTGAATCTAGGCCTCCAAAGTCCCTGCCATTCCACCCCATGCTCTTGGGGGGTGGCGGGGAGAGACACCTGAGACCAGACCAGACCAGCAAGAATGAGAAGCTTTATGAAAGAGAAAAACCAACCCAAACGAGTCCTCTTGACCAGTACTGCTCATGTGTAAGCCCCTCAGTCACACCACCTCTATCTCAAACGCTCAATCCATCCACGGTGCTAGCTGCCACTACAGCGGACAGTGGAGATGCAGGACGGGGCTGTAGAAGAGAGCGGCTATGGCCTCTGCAGCTCCACGAACTCCTTACAGTTGAATCCAAACCCCCATATCACTAACCCACCCAACTGTGACCCTCAGAGACCCTTGCAAGTAGTTCAAGCTGCAGAAAGGCCATCTGGCAGCTTCCCTGCTTGTCCTGGGCAGAATCACATGCCAGCCCCCAGGAAATCAGTCTCAGTTGTGAGACTGGCACCTATGTCCCTCCCTATGTCACACTGGAGCCTGGGCCCGTCCCACCATTTCATATGTTGCATGGAGTACAGATGTCACAAGATGACAGTGGCCAGAGGAGGCTTGGAACTGACAACGCATGGGAGGGGTCAGGCACATGGACCCCAGGGTAAGCAGCCAGGGGAAAGACTGAGCAATAAGGAAAGCCAGGAAGGTGGGCCTGGACAGGAGTTTCTAAACTCCCTCTGACTTACGGAACTCCTGAGAGCCATCTCAGGAGCAATACATAGAAGGATGTCACTGTGCCACCATGTGACCATAGAGCCACCCACAGCTCACTCTTGGGCAATACCAACTCCTCCTGAGACACCCTCAGTTCTCTGCTACTCCCCACCCTGCAGCTGGAGATCCATATTGGACCAGTCTTTCATTTAGATAGCTTCCTACTATTTCTAGGCTATCCCACTCCCATCCTGGTCTACATGATCCTATAGGCTTCTGATTCTGATGGCCTCTGCTGATGGCGCACTCCTCTCGAAGCACCCAGGTTTGGGTCACTTTTCTCTTCCCTTTAATTTATTGGTCTACTACTATTTGCCTACGTCCTTATCATTTTTCCCTCATTACTACTTCTCTGTGGCACTGGGAATCAAACCTAAGGACTCCTGTGTCAGACAGCCTCTTCTACTGAGTTCTGTCTCCAGTCTATTGTGCTGTGATCTGAAGTCTATTTTCTTTGTTGCTGTTTTGTTGTTGCTGAGACAGAGTCTTGTGTATTGTAAAGCCAAAGCTGGCCTCCTCCCTCCATTCCAAAGCATCAGGATTACAGGGGTGTGCTACCACACTCAGCCCATTCCACACCTTTGGAATTCCTTTGGAATTTTTCTCCTCTGGGTCTAAAAGATTCTGTAAAGCCTAGTCAGACCAGTGTCTCTGAAGTAAGGCAAGGCAGCCATGGACCAGTCCTCATTCTAAGGGATGGTGAACCTTCTCTGAAGGCTGGGTTTGCACATTTCCACATGGGAGAGCAGCATCTCAGCCCTGGGGCAAGGCTGTTTGTCAAGGTCAGAGATTAGCCGGAGAGCTTACACTACAGAAAGACCCAGCCCTGAAAGCCAGGAGCTGGAACCAGGGACAGACCTGTTTTGTGCAGCTCAGGCAAGAAGCGAAGGAAGATGGGGCGGGCGTACAGAGGCAGCTCCTGTTTCAAGGTCTGTGCAAAGCTCTCCAGGTCACAGTTGCTGATGGGGCTTGCCACGGCAGCCATTCCTGCTCGGCCCTCAGTTCCTGGGAGCGGGAGGGTACACAGTCTGTGGCAGGCAATGTTCTGACACACCCACCATCCTTTCCACACCTACCTGGCACCTCAACACCATAAACTGCCACATCTGCCATATGAAGTAGGCGGCTGAGTGTGCCTTCCACTTCAGTAGTAGACACATTCTCCCCTTTCCAGCGGAACGTGTCCCCTGTGCGATCTCGGAAGTATAGGTAACCCAGTTCATCCATCACCAGCACGTCACCTAGGGAGGGTACAGTTAGTCAGGACTGGGCCAACCTAGCTCCTGACCCAGGTTGAGTCAGGCAGTCATCATGGGGGCTGGGCTTTGTGGAGTCCAAGATATGTTCTCTGAGACTGTGGAAGCCCTCCTCATCAATCCCTGTTCCCTCTGGAAGGGGTGGCAAACAGCAGAGGACTCACCAGTGAGATAGGCTTGGTCCCCCTTCTTGAAGACATCATTAGCAATCTTCTTGTTGTTTGCACCCTGGTTGAGGTACCCATCGAAACGGCGCAGGGGGTCCTGCTGGATGATGCGACCCACCAGCTGGCCTGGCTGGCCTAGGGACAAGAGAGCCAGTCAGGTGTGGCCTCTTCTACCTGTCTTCACCCACAAAGGCATCCTGCATCTTAAGCTGACTTGATGCTGTCACAAAAATGTCCCATTTGTCTCCTAGACGGAAGGTAACTGAGAACAGGGAGCACATCTGGGCAGTTTGGGAGCACTGACTGGGCCATTAACGGTGAGGGTCCAATGAATTGATCCAGGAAAGAACAAACACTCAATGCACACAGGCCTGACTAGACAGCCAAACAACCTGGTAGCACCGAGCTCTACACCCGACCGAGCTCCCGATGAGTGTCACACACATTACCACACACACCCTGAGTCATGCACTGTCACCAGCCCTGCATGAAGATGAGGGCTCCTGCATGAGACTGGCAGTAGTGGCCAGGATGGGGCCTTCTCAGGAAGGTGTGCAAACAGCATGGCGAGCGAGGGTTAGTGACGGTAGTGGGGTGAGCAGTGGGTAAAGCAGAACTCACACTCAGAATGGTTCATCCACACTAACTACCCTTCAAGACAAGACCTTCCCCTCAAATGTCCACTCCCTCCCGGGGCAGACCTGGTTGACAGGGAATGCAGACGCCATCAGGTCCCCGGATCAGTTCCATGGTATCCTCATTGACTCGTACCAAGCGGATAGGGTACACAAAGGACAGGATGCGGCTATTGAAGCCACAGGCCCCCACCTGCAAAGGCTGAGACTTAGGCCAGGGCTCCATGGACTCCTCAACCGACAGTGGGGCTGGAGGGACTCAGATGTCACTCTCATGCTGGAATTCTGCTTACCCCTCTGCAAGTCTATGGTCTATTGTGATCCATCCCCACAGCAGCCTTATTAGCCCCAGTCTGGACCTTACCTGGCTGTCAAAGTTGCCCAGGCTACAGTTGCACTCAGTGGCCCCATAGAACTCAGCCACCTGGGGGATGTGGAAGCGGCTGGAGAAGTCGGTCCAGATGGACTGCCGAAGACCGTTGCCCAGTGCCATGCGCACCTTGTGCCGAGACTCAGCCTCACGGGGTGGCTGATTTAGGAGGTAGCGGCAAAGCTCACCAATGTACTGTACAATCTGGGATGAGTGTGGTGTGAGTCCAAACTCTAGGGATGCCCACTTCACTACCTCCCCACCAGAGACCGAACAATCCCTTCCCTCTCTGGGCAATCTGAGCAGTGAAGAGATTGCCCAAGGGACCATTCTGAAGTCTCAGCTGTTCAGATGGCTCAGTGTGTAGGTAGCAGGGGAGAGACTGGGAATGGGGCTGCTCATGCCTGTCCCTCCTCACTCACTGTGCAGTTGTACTTGACACAGTCGTCCCAGAACCGGGAGGCTGAGAACTTCTTCCGGATCACCACAGTCATGCCGTGGAGGAGGCACTGACCGACCCCCACGATGTTTCCTGAAGTCAGAGGGGCCTGGAGGTTAAGGACATAGAGACCCCACCCCAGAGCCTCTCCTCATTCAGGCCTGCCTCTTCACGGGACCTCCCTCCCTTGGTCTCCTCCTCCTGTTCTGTCCTGCCATGTTTACAATGCCTGTGGGATCAAGCACACACTTCTTGTCTACACAGCTGTCACTCAAGCAGACAGGACTGCTCCCCTGCTGGGTATGTTTTCTCTAGACAGTCTTCTCAGCCCCACCACTGGTCTTCCTGGGTGTGACACTTGTGTCTCCTCCTATCTTCTCTAAATCGTCTCTTCCTGAGTGTCAGGAAGGTTCCAAACATGGACCAGCTCTGTGGTGTGGAGCAGCCATAGCCCTGCCCGCACCAAGTCAGAATGATATCAAGCTATCTTCCCTTATGTCCCTATAACCAAGCAGTAGTGCTACTCATCTGCAGAGACCAATCTCAGTACACAGCAGGCAAGACGCCCCGAGACACTGACCCAGGCCAGGAACCTCGCGTCACCATCAGTGGACAAGACTGTGGTGGAGTCCATGGCCCTGCCTGAATCTGAACCCAGATTTGAGCTCCCACATCTCTACTGTAAGTGGCTAGGAAGTGGAGCTTCCAAAGGCACAGGGTGCTGGCAGCTAAGGGCAGCCCCAGGGTTACCTGCTGAGTGATAGAGGGGGAGGCAGTCATAGACAATGTCATCAGGCTGCATGCGGAACCCATAGTACACCAGGGAAGCCATACGGTAATACCTTCAACGGCATACAAGGCAAAGAGGTCAGTGGGACCCTGGGATGGCAAGAGGAGGCCTCCCGGTCCTGCATGGGCCACATCCACCCCCGGGCACTTGTCCCTTACCTGCTGTGCACCACAATGGCAGCCTTGGGTAGCCCCGTGGTGCCCGATGTGTAGACATAGAAGAGCTTATCTGAGGGAGACAGATATGCAGTGCAGGTCACTGGGAGAGCAGCTGCAGGACCGTGTGGGGGAGATGTCAGGGAGACAGATATGTAGTGCAGGTCACTGGG